GATGCTCACAGTTTCACCATTGAAACTATGGGGCTGAGTCTGTCCATGTGTTGTGAGATTAAAGAGTTTTCATCATGTCTTCTGACTGCTAGTTGGTGTTCATGGATGCACTCTGCTAGTCTTCTGCTTGTCTGTCCTACATAGTGGCTGTTACAGATGAAACATTTGCAAACAACCCAGAGAGCACCAAGGACTCCACAATGAGCCAATAGTGAATCAACTTAGTTTTCTGAGCTCCGTAATATCAAGGAGATACAGGGGAAGTGCTGATCTCAAATTAGTGGTATCTTCCCATGCATGAAATGGCTCCTGATTATATTGACTGTGGAACCAGGAGCTCAACTATATTATTATCCTTGGACATTTAATGGGAAAAGAAGTGAAATTATCTTTTAAAAAATGACTGGAGTACGTGTGATGACTTAGGTCATTCTAAGTCTCCACCCAATCTAAATGAATCCTTTCTGTACTCATGAATCTAGCTGTGGCTCTGGATCTTGACTAATAAAGATGGATCTTCTAATTATGCAGCTAGTGGTGAAAGATAATGGGAGTATGAGAAATGGAGGCAGTTTGCAGCAAAACTTCAGAGGTTCAGTTAGCAAAACAGTTCTGGTGTAGAATCATAACTGAAAGAGTTTATACTCCTTAGCATCATCCCACCATACAGAATATTGATTTTTGCTGGGTGTATGAATGTGTGAAGCTATGTTAGCATGGAATTAGCCTGCAGTAAACACTGTTAATGAACTCATTACTGCTATTACTCCACCATTAGAAGCGTGACCTGATGTGTTTGAGGGGCTTCTCCATGAAAAGGGATACATCATTTTAGGTAAACTAAGTAGTACTTTGTGTGTACGTGTATAATGCATTTGATTGGCTCAGACACTGAAGCAGTGAACCTTAATTAGTTAGTTTGACTTGCTCTTTCTCATACAGCCTAGCTTTTTCTCTGTGGATTTTCCACATCACTGAGCTGGCAGGCTTGCTGTTGGGTATAGTCTAATTGTGTCTAACTTTCCTAAAATAGTCATCTTAGGGCAATTTTTCCTTTTGTTCCTACCTGCAATAACTTTGGGAAACACATTTTTGTATACCCACAACCACCCCCCAAAAGAAATAATGCAGAATGCCTTTGCATCTGTAATCTTGATTATCTACTTGGGTTCTATTTTAGGGTTTGTCTGGAACAGATGGCAAAGATGGCAAGCCAGGATCACCTGGGGAACCAGTAAGGAGAGAGTTTGTTATTATTATTATCACCTAATGTTTGTCACTGTTGTTTGTTCTTTGGCTGAAGTTCTATGATGTCATAGACTCCCCTTATATTCATAATGTTGGGTGTGGAAAGACACTTTTCACGCCATGCTTTCATACATTGGTATGTCCCTCTGTGAAGAAACTAAAGGGTCATTTAGTCTCAGAAGAAAAACTCTGGATCAGTGAGAATGTTGGGGGTTGAGAACTTAGGCTAGAGGAAACAAAGTCAACATGAAACTCAAAGTCTGGAAAATGCTCCTGTTTCCTCTTTCTGTTTGCCTTGGCAAGTTTATCTGATTGCAACTCTCGGATTTATCTTGTGACTTCAAACTGCATGCAGTTTAGAAATATTACTTCATTTCAGGCTTTAAAAATGCAATCACTGGTCCCCTCTAATAAGAACTGAACTACAAAATTGCTGGTCAAAATGTTCCAGAGGTCCATCAGAATATGTTTGTTTGGTTTTGGCATAGCACATTGTGTGAACTAAGCCAGTGCAGCATGGAACTCTGATTTATGGCTTAGCAGGGCATGAATCTATTCTAAATGTGCTTTGTCTTTTTCAGGGTAAGCCAGGAGAACCTGGGCTACCAGGCCAAGAGGGTGCTAGAGGACTACCGGTAGGTCCTGTTGCAGGCAGTTCTGGGACAGGGGTGAAGTTTTTCAGTGAGATCACTCTCAGAGTGGAGAGGCTGATATATAGTTGTACATTGTCTAGTTCAGAATTATCACTTCTTGGATGAATAACATGGGGCAGCTTATCACATGAATGATGCCGATATTCAGCAAGGAACAAAATCTGTTACTGGAGAGAAACAGGATCTATTTTTGGAGTTTAGGTGTGTGTGTGTGTGTGTGTGTGTGTGTACGTACGTGCACACATGCATACATGAAAAAAGGGAGAATCATGCCTGGAAGATAATTTATTTCTTCTGCCCTATTGTTCAAATATTGTCTCGGAAGGGAACTCACTGCTATCTGTGTGTGTCTGTGTCTTTTTCTGTGTGTGTATTCCATGTGTATCAGACTCTGCTGTTAAACTTAGAAGCAAAGTAGACCCCATCTCCCAGGAAAGGAGATGGTGAGATATAAAGAGAAAAGGAATGTGTGAGCGGAGCTTAAGTCAAAAGCAGGGAGGAGGTTAAGAGAACCATTTGCAGTACTCAAGTTTTGGAGGAAGAACATTTACAGATTTTCATTTCATCTCTTTCTTCCAGGGTTTTAAGGGTCCGAGAGGAGATGTAGGGAGTCCTGGCATGAGAGTAAGTAATATAGATATGCTAAAGTATAGTCTTGGTGTAAAAAGTGCCTTTTTTGAAGGTCCCCACTGCTAGTTATATCTTTGGAGTGGGGTAAACAGTATCCTCTGGATTTCTGAAGAAGAAAATAGAGAGTTTGCCAACCATGTATAAACATAGGATGACTGGTTCCTTGTTGAAAACTGATTTGCAACTATGCTGGGGCAAAAGAAGTAGTAGCATGGACATACTTTAAATTACATGATGGGGCACTTTGAATCTTTAAAGGGGAGGATTTGCTATGCTCTAAATTTTGTTTTCCTTTCCTCCATCCTTTTTCTTTATTACAGGGAGGACCAGGTCAACCTGGAACTCCAGGCCGGGAGGGGCAATCAGGAAAAGATGTAAGTGTTAGGCACAATAAAAGCTCTATGTCAACTTCCATGGGGAAAAAATCTTAAAAGTAGTAATAGTAACAATAATGATATTTCTAGAATTTACTTCCAAATGTCCATCATCTGAAATTAATTCTGCTCTCTGTGCCTGATTTATTTTATTAAATTTGTACACTGGCTCCTATCTCATATCTCATCCCCCTGCTTTAACATTATGATCTAATCACAAATAAGTACTCTAAGATGTGAGTTGCCCCCAAAATGGCCTCCAGAGGCAAAGACAAAGGAAGTGAAAAAGTTAAAATACCTGCCTCTATAAGACAGGTCAGGTCTATGACCATCATAAGACAGGTAGCATTGGCTGTCTGGGATCACGAATCAGACAGTTCTAAGATGAGCAAGTATCTTTGGCTTCTGACTTTCTTAATCTTCAGTGAAGCTATGATGTGTGATTTCCCCCCCCCTTCTATTCCAGGGAGATCCAGGGCCTACAGGACCACAAGGCCCTCGAGGACTTCGAGGAGTAGCAGTGAGTCATTTTGTCTAGTGAACTGGGAACAAGTTGTTCTGAGATTAAGATATCCTTCAGATTCTAGGAGAGACCCTACAATATCCAAGTGATTCAAGAGAATTTCAGTATAGAGATCCCACATGGTCTAATGGTGATGATGTTGCAAAGGAATTCATTTTGAAGGAGTTCATTTCGAAAGCAGAATTTTGCAGCTTCCTGGGAAATGTAAAGAGTTGGGGGGAATTTAATTGAGAACTTCTTCCTTTTCTGATCTGGAAGATAGATGATAGATAGACAGACAGACAGACAGACAGACAGACACGTATATGCATGCATGAGTAGTAAAGGGAAAAACTCCCTTTGGTTGGGGTTGATTTCTGGCGATTATATGGGGCAGAGGCATCCTTTCCTTTCCTTTCCTTTCCTTTCCTTTCCTTTCCTTTCCTTTCCTTTCCTTTCCTCTCCTTTCCTTTCCTTTCCTCTCCTTTCCTTTCCTTTCCTCTCCTTTCCTTTCCTTTCCTCTCCTTTCCTTTCCTTTCCTCTCCTTTCCTTTCCTTTCCTCTCCTTTCCTTTCCTTTCCTCTCCTTTCCTTTCCTTTCCTCTCCTTTCCTTTCCTTTCCTCTCCTTTCCTTTCCTTTCCTCTCCTTTCCTTTCCTTTCCTCTCCTTTCCTTTCCTTTCCTTTCCTTTCCTTTCCTTTCCTTTCCTTTCCTTTCCTTCTCTTTTCGTTAGGATATTTTTTAATTGATTGATCATGTGCCATCAAGTTAGTGTTGACTCTTAGTGATCATATGGGTAGATATTAAAAGTTACACAAAGTGTAATGAATTTGGTTGTTGCTGAAGAATAGACAAATATGAGCTTTAAGAGAACCATCAAAAATGCCTTTAGCCAATTATCACCACATCAATCTTGAAGACCCTTTCTGGTTTGGGGTTATTTTGTGACATGTCATCAAATTAATCCAGACGGTTGGTGCTTGATATCCAAAGGATGACAGAGCAGTTTCTCCCCTGACCCTTGGAGGAAAGCTGATAGTCCAAAATAAATTATCCACAAGAGAAGATGAAAATGTTTCTGATCATAGGACTTTGGTTTCATTCATCAGGGTTCTTCATATGCTTTGGGATTAATTGCTGTCTTCCCTCTTTTAGGGCAAGACTGGACCTCCAGGTGCCCCTGGGGAACGTGGTTTTGCAGGTAACCCAGTAAGTATTGTATTTACTGTCTCCATCACCAGTATGAGCTTACAACAGCATAGGCAACTGCAGCAGCCAAAGTGAGGCTATGTGCATCATGATGTCATTGTGTAATTTGCATCAGTTAACAAAGTACCATGCATTATTTGTGTCATTTGCATGATGACATGCATGACATCACTTGTCCCCTCCTGCCTGTATAATACAACAAGATAGTATGAGTAGCTATTAAGCATTACAGGCCTTGATTTTAGCTGCAAATTAAGAAAATCTCTTGAAATTGAAGTGTTCTTCAGAGAAAACAGAAGATAGCCATGGTCTGCTCTCTCTTGGTTTGGAAAGCAAGATACACAATAATGGATTTTATAGTAAGAGTAGTTCAAAGAGAAGCTTGACAGCCATCCTTTGGTGATATTTAATTTGGATTCACCCCTTCATGGATCATTGCCTTGTCATGGTGAAGGGGCTTGCGTAACTCAGTGAAGCCATGAGCTATACCGTGCAGGGCCACCCAAGACGGACAGGTCATGACAGAGAG